GGGGGCAGTTGACGCTTTTTGTTTAGGGCACTTATGGTTGTTGCATTTAATAATGATATTTTCAGTACTTCACAAGCGTTAGATTTTCTGGTTTTATTGTTTTTAGTTTTTTTTTTGGTTTGTGTTCGCTTTATTTATCAACAATTTGTTTGATTGATTGATGAGCGGCAATGACTCACTAAACTGAACTAACGAACTAAGTCCCTGATTGCCGTTCGTTACAATTTTCTACCACTGTTTGTTTTATGTTATGTGTTAGGCATCTACAAGCTTAGCACTCTGCCGAACTGTTATTAACAGCGAGCCCTGTTTTATTCGGAAACTGCCATTGTATATGTTAGGAACTTTTTTAATTATTACTAATAAACTTTTGCTAAATTCAAAATTTTTTTAATCAATATTTAAATATATTATTTTATGTTTCATTTCTATATGGCAGATATTAAGCGAAACCGACTTTAATTTGAATCAAAACAGCTGTTCTTTGGTTCCTGAGAACGCACCAAATCGAATATTAACAGAGCCGGAGCAGAAAACTGCTAATTTACATTATTCGATTGATTGCTGAGCACCAATGAATCTCAACCATATTCCGAAAAGGGAATGAAGATACCCGTGTATCTTTTTGTTGAGGTTTTTAATCGATATCGACTTAAGTTGACTGGTCTTACGACTCCACAATAATGGTAGCCGGTAAATCATTGCGTCAGTCTGGCAGCTCTTCAAGAATGTTATGATTATTTTTGCTAACATAAAAAATACTAACTTAACAGAATTACTCCTCACTACGTGAAGAATGTTTTTTTTTATACATTTTCAAAGTTGTATTCGTAATAAGGTACAATAATATTCGTTTTTATTATAAATGAAGTTTTCTATAGAGTTTGTTCAGAGTATCACTATTTATAATTTATTGATTTAAAATTCTAACTATGTAATATTATTTTAATTTGTCTTACTCAAAAAGTAGAACGATATTTTTGCGGCAAAGCTGTGTACTTGCGTACATAACAGTTCAGCATATGTAAAACTTCTGTTAACTGTTAAATAAAATTTCCAACTGGTCCACTTCGTATTTTTACTTTTAAGAGCTTTTCATAGCGAACTTCTTTAAATTTAAGGTTGAAGGTAAATAAAAGCATTTGACATTTGCCGTCAATTACTGTGCACTTAATAGTGTTGAACCTGCATTAAATTACGTACGAAATAAACATTGGAGAAATAGTTCCGGTTGCATTTTTGCTCTTCGTCTAGTTTTGGTAAAAACAATGTTTTTGCATAACAGAAATCTATGCAAGCTGGCAAGTAAGTAGTTTAATACCCTCTCCCAGACAAAAATTGTATTGCTTACCTTACAGGTAATGTCGCTAATTTCGTCACGAGCAACGTCCGTTTCAGCAGCCAGAAGGCAAAGACTGCGATACTCATGCTGAACATGGGCGGACCTCAACACACGGATCAGGTGCACGACTATCTGTTGCGTATTATGACGGATCGCGATATGATACAGCTGCCGGTGCAAAGCCGACTCGGTCCATGGATTGCGCAGCGTCGCACCCCAGAAGTGCAAAAGAAGTACAAAGAAATTGGCGGCGGCTCGCCAATATTGAAGTGGACCGAGCTGCAGGGCCAGCTGATGTGCGAGCAACTGGACAAACTGTCGCCAACTACGGCACCGCATAAGCATTACGTTGGCTTTCGCTATGTCAATCCACTGACTGAGGATACTCTTGCGCAGATCGAAAGGTCAGTTGACAGCAGCGTCAAGAATTTGATTTATGTATTCCTCATGCAATATTCTCCTGCAGCGACAAGCCAGAACGTGTGGTGCTCTTCTCACAGTATCCACAGTACAGTTGCGCCACATCCGGCTCCAGCTTCAACTCGATCTTCACCCACTACCGCGAAAAGTAAATGGCCAGCTCATGTGAAAGTTAGACTGCTAACCCAGTTTCCAATTCGCAGCACACCACCCGCCAACATTAAGTGGAGCATTATTGATCGCTGGGGCACACATCCGCTGCTCATAAAGACATTTGCACAACGCATACGCGAGGAGCTGGCCAAGTTTGTGGAGACTAAGCGCAATGATGTTGTAATACTCTTTACGGCACATTCGCTGCCCCTCAAGGCAGTAAGTAGGGGTGACCCGTATCCCTCGGAAATTGGCGCCAGTGTGCACATGGTTATGCAGGAACTGGGCCAAAATAATCCCTACAGCTTGGCCTGGCAGTCGAAGGTGGGACCGCTGCCCTGGCTGGCACCAGCCACAGATGATGCCATCAAGGTAAACTATTTCCGGGGACCATGCTTCTATGCTTGACTCTAATCTCAATTAAATTGCAGGGCTATGTAAAACAGGGCCTGAAGAACTTTATACTGGTGCCTATTGCATTTGTTAACGAGCACATTGAAACACTGCACGAGCTGGACATTGAGTACTGCGATGAGCTGGCCAAGGAGGTGGGCGTGGAGGAGATACGTCGCGCTGCCGCTCCCAATGATCATCCGTTGTTTATTGAGGCACTGAGCAGCATTGTGGCAGATCATCTGAAGTCGGATCAGCCCGTGAATCCGAAGTTCTTAATGCGCTGCCCCATGTGCACCAACAAGCGCTGCCGTGAAAGTAAAAAATGGTATCAACAGCTATGCGCACACTAAAATGCCATTTTATTTATATGAGACTCACATGATGCACCATCTGTAGTGCATTTTAAGTTAGTTAGCTTCAAGCTATCATTACAATGTTCATCAATCTATCAATCGGTTCGCTTATAGGTATTTCATTAATTAGGTTCCGGGTTTTGCGACTGCGAGTCCATAAGGCAATAAAGACACTGCATAAACAAAAGTATGAGCCGTTCTCTTTTTATCTCCCTCTCTGTAAATCGCGCGCTCTCTGTCTGTGGCACACATGTGCGCCGCGATACCATGCACAAATCACCTCTGGTCTGTAGTCTATAAACGCTCTCTGTTACGTCACGACTTGTAAATTCTATGCGGTACTCATGGAACGCGTAAAATCATTTAAATATATACAACTTGCTTTCTCGGTCATAAAGATCATTTACGTTTCATATTATTGTTAGCTTAAGAGTCGTTTAAGTCATCGCATTAACATTTCACATATGTTACGTCACACTTAAGCTTACTCATTTGAGCATCGAACTTGTATCATGCGCAATGCGCTATCTTCTAGTTATTTTAACGCCGGTCAGTTTTCATCAGCTGTTTGGTATCACTTTGTCAGATTTCGAATTCTTTATTTATGGTGGGCACATAAAAATTTAAATTCTAATGGCCATCGGAGTTCCTTTAGTAAACACGCGCCCTGCCAAAGCAGTGATTGGCCGTAATACTGCTCATTTGCTTACGTTTGCCGTATGACGAATTGCATAACGGGACAACTTCGAATGCATCATTAACGTAGCTGCGACTCCAAATGCCAACATAAATCACAAAATATCACAAGAATCAGCAAAAAAAGCATACGAATTGATGTCTTGAAATTGGATGCGAGAAGAGAACGCGCTCAGCTTTCAATCAGTTCTATTTGAGCGCGCGCCAATTAAGCCACGCTCGAAATTGGCTGGCAATTAAAGCCTTGCAACTTTGACCCGACGAGGAATCTATATCATTGTTACAGCAGTGCTCGCTCCATCTGATGAAACATACTCGGCGCAATCTAATCTCGACATCGGCATATTGATCGTAAATTAATTGGTAAATCCAGCTATAACTGTGGAGTATTTTTAAACACACCGTTATGTCTGGAGCTAACAATGTTAGCCAATCCGGTGCAGTATACGCTGTGCTCTCAACGCCAAACCACGCCGGAGCGGAACGCCACGATTTCGACAGGTAAGGGCTGCGAATCCGCTTGTGTGTGTATCGTTATGGAAACCTGTTTAAATGTACATACATACATACGTACGTACGTTTACTGACCTCCGCTTTCATTTGTTCATTTAGTGCACAAGTATTTTCCACCTCAGATTTGTCATAGTTTATGGCAGCATCAAAGTTTTGTTTATGGCCAGCGTGACGTTGTGCCCATAAAGCAAATCAGTTGTTATCTGTCTATTTGAATTACGTGAAGAAAGCCAAATGAGAATTGCCCCACTTCAGTTTGAGCGCTGGAGACGTACACGTTCCTGTTTAATTGCATTGATTAGATCTCCACTTTTGAGTTAGAAGCATTTCAAGCCAAAACACAACAATTATCTCTGGCTGTCTGTCATCGCCATTCAAAATTGAAACCTACTTCTTCAATCTTGAACTTCAAAATTAGTTTGAAGCTGATCAAGCAAGAGCAACGTTTGCTGTCTCATGGTCTCGTATCTCATGGTGGGAATCTCGAAGTCAAAAACACTTGAACCCGAAACTTCACCCACCAAATCATTGACCATCATTTCCACCAAGGAGGTGTGGATTTGCCGAAAAGTGCAAAACAACTCTCAAATGAATTTGCACAAGAATAAATTTGAAAATGTCTCATGCAACAGGTTTTCGCGACTTTTCCTTAGAACCCGTAAGGTAACTTAAGTCCAGATTTCGGATTCCTAGCTCTAGCTCTGATTTGATATCAGTCAATTAGTCACCACATTCACACACTACTGAATACCTGAGAATGAGCAGTAACCTGACCATATTTCAGAGCGGGTCGGCTATCAGCTTAAGTTTTCAAAGCGAACCTGCTCACACATGCGAACACAATACACCAAAAAAAAAAATGCCCTGTCAGGTTTATTAAATGAAAGTGTGTGCACTCAAATGTATTTGTATTTACATTCCTACTACCCTACCACAAAAGCATATTGTGTTCGCTATCTCTAAACTTAACGAATAAGTGTGAGATTATAATTAAAACTCACAACGAAGCTTAAATACACTAATACAGACACTATGAAAATTGTAACATATGTGTATATGAAGACCTACTTTAAACTTAGTATATTAAAATGTGTCACCCAAATTGGGCAACATTCATAGACTTTAAAACTTTTAGAGAATTTCTCAAAATTAACAATTAAGACAATTAATATCGACCCTGACATATTTGACTGATCCGTTAATACACTTTCCATCCAATGCATTGTGTAACCCCACAAGTACAAATTCATGAGCGACCTGCCGGCCTCATTTACGGTGTTAAAAGGCATTTAGTGAAACTAGGTACATCTCAATTATGGAGCACACACAATGTTGTATACGGATCTTATCTTAATGATTTACCCACTATTCTCAGATGCGCCACAGACGAGCCAAGCGAGCTAAGTGCATTCTTCAACTGGCGATCCATTAGCAAGAAGATGGAGCATAAAACCGGCGGCGTCTTCAAGAATCGCAACCTGATCGTCGATCTGCTGGCCATATGCTTTGGTATAGGCACGTGGCTGGGCGTGAATGGCACCTTTATACAGCTGCCGCTGCTGGTTAATGAGGCGCCCGAGGGCTGGAGTCTGCCATCCTATCTGAGCGTGATGGTGCAAATAGGAAATTTGGGACCACTGCTCTACACTGTCTATCAAAAGTACTCACCCTGGAAGCTCAACGATGGCTTCACCATACATGCAGTTCTGGCAATCGGCACAATGTCCTGTCTGTTAACCGCGTTTTTCTACAACCGGACGGCATCGCTGGCGGGCAACGAGCACAGCGTAGCGCTTTTCATACTCACCATCTTCACCGCGCTCAATGCTTGCACAAGCTCAGTGCTCTTTATGCCCTACATGGGACGCTTCAAGGAACAATACATAGTCACCTATTTCATCGGCGAGGGTCTCAGCGGCCTGCTACCTAGCGTCACGGCCTTGGTGCAGGGCATTGGTGACTCCGGTCGCTGTGTGTTTGTGAATGAGACCGAGTCGGGCGAGGCGATCTACCAGAAAATAACAGAACCACCTTTGTTTGACACAAGGGTATTCTTTTTGATATTATTTGGCCTGATGGTACTCAGCTACATTGGCTACACGCTGCTCAATCATCTGTCACTGGCGAAGAGCGAATATGCCCAGGTTACTGTTAGCAAGGGCAACAAGTATGAGTATGGCCAGGATGATAATCAACCGCAGCTGCAACAGCTCACGCGTGGCCAGTATATTGGCTTGCTGCTGCTTATAGGCACCATCTCTCTCTTTAGCAACGGCATGTTTCCCAGCATACAATCATATTCGAGTGCGCCGTATGGAACGCGCGCCTATCACCTGTCGGCAACGCTGAGTGTTATTGCCAATCCAGTGGCCTGTTTCATGGCCATGTTCCTATATTTTACATCGCTGCGCATCATATATGTGCTCTCGACTCTGGCAGCGCTGCTCACCAGCTATGTATTTATCACCGCTATCCTAAGTCCATATCCACCGCTCTACGATAATACAGCTGGCGCCGTGCTAGTGGTAAGTGAGTCGAGTTGAACCTATTGTCCATATTCATATCTTTTGTATTTCAATTTTGCAGGTAGCTGCGTGGACTTTGCTTGTCGGAATCGTCAGCTACACCAAGCTGGGAATTACGACTGTGATGCGTGCCCAGGGCGGCCAGTCGTTGGTGTGGGTGGGCGCCATTACCCAACTGGGCTCGGCAATTGGTGCTATCTCCATATTCTTTGCCATTAACTATACGCGTTTCTTTCAGTCCGCCGAGTCGGAATGCTGAGCAGCCCGATTTAATATCCTCAACTAGATGATTTTAACATAGTTTAGTAAATATATAGATATTTTATTTTTTACTTGCGCCTTGTCATAACAATAGAATATTTAAAACACATAACATGTTAGGCATAGCTCGTTATTTGGTATGATATACGTGTATAATAAACTTAAACCATAAATATGCCTCAATTATTAGGTTTGACAACTTGTTCCTTACTTTTGGCATTATCAGTTTGATCGATTTCACTATCCACGTCACCCTCATAGCCGGAATTCGTGCGGGAACGCGATGCAGTCGGATTTGCCTGCGTTTCATCAGCAGAAGCAATATTCGTACTACTCATTTTGCTAAAGCAATGCGTAAAATTTTGCAGCATATTCTGGCCCTTCTCCGAGGCCTTATTGAAGGCCAGAATCTTCTCCCGCAGACTGCGACTAGCACTATTGCTGCTCACCACTGCCTGACTGCTCTGAGGCGATGGCTGGCCCGATTCGCCGAGAGCACTTTGGCCAGAATGGCCCATCAAGGTTTCAACCTTCTCGAATGACTCCTTGGCGCGCTTGAAACACATCAGACTATCGCGCAGCAGTTGACTCTCGTGAAGTCGTCGAAAATCAGCGAGCAGTTCACGCAGTTCAATTACCTCGACTGAGCTCAAGCCATTGTCTCCTGTGTGCATGTTTTCAAACTCCATAATCAGACGCTTGATTTTAGTAGGCTGCTGCTCTGGACCGGACTGCGTCATTGCCAGCATTGTGGACACATCAGCCATCTCCCTGATTATGTTTACTGAAGTCTGAATCAGGTCAGTGTGCTGCTGTATAGTTTGCTTGAGCCGTAACCGTAGATTCCGCAGGTAAAGGCATATGTGTTGGGTATTCTCGATATCAATAGCCTTCGGTAAAGCTGTTAAAACAGCGATTAATTGAGCAATATAGACATATTGAATCTTTATCAACAAACCATTCAGCTCCTTATTGTTTTCGGCGTTTGCCATTTAGCGGGCTCTTAATTTTCAATACGAAGAATTTCAATCAAACTAACCAACTAACACGAAATGATTTTAAATTACCTAAAATTTATTTTCTACGTTCTGTGTGTAAAATCTGTGATATGTTTAAAAATCATTGCAACCAAGATTAAAAAATCAAACCGAAAAATATCAAAATACTTTTCAAATCTAAGGCTCCTGCTTGAAAAAGTCCACTGTAGCCACGTACTATTTCTGAAAGTTCAGTTAATATCTTATAACTTATTCCAATACTAATAAAATTTGAGAAATATTCTTTTAACTGAACAAAGAAGGCTAGTTTTCAATCTCAGATATGGATTTAACAGTTAGGCTGATAATATCCTCACATAATGTTATGTTAATAATAATAATGTTATAATGTTAATAACAAATCTAGGCTTTCCAGTTTCCTGTTACACTACAATTTGTTGGGAGAATATGTTTAAAGTTTCGTTTCAAATGAAATCAGTAAAATGATAGTTTTGCATATAAACTAGTTTGAATGTAACTATATAAGTTAACAACTAAGCATAAATATATTGCCCTAGCAATTAAGTAGCTTCGTATTAACAATGCTGACGCGCCAGAACTGAGTTCAGCGCTCTGCGCTAAGAACGGCCAGCAGCGGTAAGCTGACACTGCATGGAATGCTGAGTCGGCTTGCCGACCATGCTTTGATGGCGTGATGCATTGAGGCTTAGGGTATTTGTATAATTTGCTTGTCCCCTAGTTTTTAGTTTTATATGAAGCGCGCAACACATAAGTCGCCGAAATAAATATACTGCTCCGGCATTGCCGATAAAACATATCTTTCGTAATATTACTGGATCAAGGAGAACATATTTTGATCAAGGGCAGCGCGGGATCAACGCAACTTACCCAAGATAACATTGTGTTACATCGCAGAACATACATTAATGAATAACTGGCGCCCAACCAATAAATAGGAACCCATACCATGTAAGTTCATAAGTGATTTCAGTTTGAAGAAATTATTCTCGAACGCCACGTACCGATACGTGTGATTTTTAAAAAAAAAAAAAAAAAAAAAAAAAAAAAAAAAAAAAAAAAAAATTGTAAAGTAAAGTAAATATTGCTGCTCTCTTCTGCCAGCATTTCATTCCTTTAAATCATTGCATACTTTCACTAAAAACTGTTGCATACTTTTACCAGCGTTCCTTGTCAATAAAGCATTGCATACCTTAAACGAATAATTATTGCATACTTTCGGCAGCATTACATTTTTTGCTGCATACCCCTAACAATTTTTTATAATAAATATTGCATACCCCAAGATTCACCAGTTTCCACTATTGCCAACAGCGTTACCTGCCGATCTTTCTCGATCGGCCTAAGTTTGAAAAGTGCCAACCATAAGCCAATGAGTTGGAATTATAGGGAGATAAAAGTCGAATATAATAGTGACGATAGCTGGGAGGGGGAAATCAATTGCTCAGTAGATCCTACTCCTGCAGATACCGTTGTAACTGAAGAAATGGAGCCGGCTCAAGTTCAGAATCTCATTGAGGGTGCCATCAGGCAAGCTTTAGCGCAACAACAAAATCAGTTTCAAGCACAAATAACCGCTTTAGCTTCACAAGTACAGAGTTTGCAGGTGGAGGCGCCGCAAATCGTCACATACGAGAAAATATCCGTCGATCCAAACGCCAAATGCGATATTCCCTTGGACATTATTAAATCTGTGCCGGATTTCTCCGGCGTACAGGATGAGTATGTAGCGTGGAGGCAAGCAGCCATCTACGCGTACGAACTATTCAAGAACTATCCAAAGAGCACTGCACACTACCAAGCGGTAGCGATCATTAGGAACAAAATCAAAGGCCCAGCTGGAGCCTTACTAGTGTCTCACAACACTGTCCTAAATTTCGATGCAATACTAGCTAGGCTAGATTGCACATACTCGGACAAAACATCCTTGCGCTTGCTGAGACAATGTTTGGAGTTAGTTACGCAGGGCGAAATGTCCCTGATGCAATACTACGATGACGTCGAAAAGAAACTCACGCTCGTAACTAACAAAATTGTAATGTCTCACGACCAAGAAGGCGCGGATTTGCTCAACCGGGAGGTCAGAGACGACGCCTTGCACGCCTTTATCTCCGGTCTTAGGAAGCCGTTGAGAGCGGTTGTGTTCCCTGCACAACCAAAAGATCTACCATCCGCTCTGGCCCTTGCCAGAGAGGCAGAAGCTAGCATTGAGAGAAGCATGTTCGCGAACTCTTACGCTAAAGCCTTGCAAGACCGAGCGCAAATTGCTGAAAGTAACAAAAACCGTGCCCAAGGCAAGCAAACCAGATTTAACAAAGATGAGCAAAATCAGGAGAGAAATCCCCATTTTGTGAAACGCCAAAAGGGCGGTCCCCAGCCCCAGGCCCCTAAAGATAATCAAACTGAGGCTCCACAGCCCATGGAAGTTGACTCTTCCTCCAGATTTAGACAAAAAACCGACTACAGCAAGCGTCAGGCTAATGAGTCCAACGCACCAAAACGCAAGAATTCGTCAGACCGTTCAACAGGTCAAAGACGACAACGCGTTAACAATGTCGTACAATCAGATTCCAAAGAAGCCGTAACAGAATTCGAGAAGGCGGCCAAAGAGGCAGTTGAAGAACTAGAGAGTGAGAACGAGTACGCACCTGGTGACGACTCGATTAATTTTTTAGGGAACACTCCCGGCTTCCGTACATTGAACGACGGTTGGCTGGGAGAACTCTGAAGATGTTGATTGACACTGGCGCGGCAAAAAATTATGTGAAGCCCTTAACAGAGCTAAAGACCATAACGCCGGTCGCCAAGTCATTCTCGGTAAACTCGATCCACGGGTCTACCGAAATCAAGCGCAAATGCTTGATGAACATTTTCCAACATACCTCCCCGTTTTTTCTCCTCGATACCCTAAGTTCTTTCGACGCCATCATAGGCTTCGACTTGCTAACACAAGCCGGAGTCAAATTGAACTTGGCAAAAAACACTCTGGAATACCAGAGTACATCCGAAAAACTCCAGTACTATCAATGTGCTGATGTGAACTTCACCGATGTCAACGACATCGTAGTCCCCCCTTCCGTAAAGAAAGAGTTCAGGGACATGATACTCAGAAACAAAAGAGCCTTCTCAAATGCAGACGAAGCTCTCCCTTTTAATACTGCTGTTATCGCTACAATCCGAACAGTAGACAACGAGCCTGTGTATTCAAGATACCCGAGTCTCATGGGTGTTTCTGACTTCATAAACAAAGAAGTCAAACAATTACTGGACGATGGCATAATCAGGCCCTCCAGATCGCCTTACAACAGCCCAACATGGGTGGTTGATAAAAAAGGCACTGACTCATACGGTAACCCAAAAAAAAGGTTGGTAATCGACTTCAGGAAACTGAACGAAAAAACCATACCGGACCGCTACCCCATGCCGAGCATCCCCATGATCTTAGCAAATCTAGGAAAGGCAAAATACTTCACTACCCTCGACCTAAAGTCGGGGTACCATCAAATTTACCTTGCGGAGCATGACCGCGAAAAGACTTCATTTTCAGTAAGCAGCGGCAAGTACGAGTTCTGTCGCCTACCATTCGGCCTGCGCAATGCAAGCAGCATATTCCAAAGGGCAATAGACGATATCCTGAGGGAACATATAGGAAAGATTTGCTTTGTCTATGTAGACGACGTCATAATTTTTTCTAAAAACGAAACGGAGCACCTTCAACACATTAACATTGTGTTAAAATGTCTAATCGACGCAAACATGCGTGTAGGCCCCGAAAAGACTCGTTTCTTCAAGGAAAGTATCGAATTCCTGGGTTTCATTGTAACCAAAGACGGAGCAACATCCGACCCCAAAAAAGTTAAAGCCATTCAGGAATTCCCTGAACCAAAGAATGTCTACAGCGTTAGGTCCTTCTTGGGGTTAGCCAACTACTATAGGGTCTTTATTAAGGACTTTGCCGCTATAGCGCGTCCGATATCGGACATACTTAAAGGGGAAAATGGTTCAGTTAGTAGGCACGTATCAAAGAAAATCCCTGTTGAATTTAATGAAGTTCAACGCGATGCATTTCACCGTCTGCGGAGTATTTTGGCATCAGAAGACGTCATGTTAATGTATCCAAACTTCCAGAAACCGTTCGATTTAACCACTGATGCTTCGGCCAGTGGAATTGGCGCGGTTCTTTCCCAAGGCAATAGGCCAATAACAATGATTTCTCGCGCCTTAAAACAGGCCGAACAAAACTATGCCACTAACGAAAGAGAATTGCTGGCCATTGTGTGGGCTTTAGGCAGATTGCAGAACTTTCTGTACGGTTCTAGGGAAATTAACATTTTCACGGACCACCAGCCGCTCACGTTCGCTGTGTCGGACAAGAACACGAATTCCAAGATTAAAAGATGGAAATCTTACATTGACCAGCACAATGCCAAAATGTTTTATAAACCGGGCAAAGAGAATCTGGTGGCGGATGCCCTTTCAAGGCAAAACATTAATGCTCTGCAAGATGGGCCCCGTTCGGACGCTGCAACCGTTCACAGCGAACTTTCCCTGACCTACACGGTCGAGACAACAGACAAACCTTTGAATTGCTTTAGGAACCAGATTGTCCTAGAGGAATCGCGTTTTCCGCTAAAGCGAAACTTGTTGCTGTTTCGCAGCAAAACACGCCACTTGATCAGTTACACTGACAAGAGCTCAATTCTCAAAACCCTCAAAGAAGTTGTGAATTCTGGAGTCGTTAATGCAATACATTGCGATCTTCCCACGTTGGCAAGTTTCCAACACGACCTGATTTTGTATTTCCCTGCTACCCAATTCTGGCATTGCAAAAATCTTGTGCAAGATATAACGGACAAAAACGAGCAGTTAGAAATCATCACTGCCGAGCACAATCGAGCGCACAGAGCAGCTCAGGAAAACATTAAACAAGTACTTCGGGACTATTATTTTCCCAATATGGCCAGTCTGGCCAAAGAAGTGGTTGCAAACTGCAGGGTCTGCACTAAAGCCAAATACGATAGGCACCCGAAGAAACAAGAACTCGGGGAAACGCCTATACCAAGTTATACTGGCGAAATGTTGCATATTGACATTTTCTCGACAGACAAGAAACAGTTCTTGACCTGCATAGACAAATTCTCAAAATTTGCAGTCGTCCAACCGATATTATCCAGAACGATAATCGATGTCACAAGCCCTCTACTGCAAATTGTTAACCTTTTTCCCGCAACCAAGACAATTTATTGCGATAACGAGGCGGCCTTCAATTCCGAGACCATCACTTCGATGCTCCGAAACGCCTACGGCATTTGCATTGTGAATGCGGCTCCGCTTCACAGCACCTCAAACGGCCAGGTGGAGCGCTTTCATAGCACCCTGACCGAAATTGCGAGATGCCTCAAGTTAGACAAGAAAATCAGCGACACTACAGAATTAATCTTAAAGGCTACGATAGAGTACAACAAAAGTTTGCACTCAGTAACCCTCGAGAAACCAATTGAGGTCGTTCATGCAGCAGCTTCTGATCGTCGCGGGAACGTCAAAAACAGGCTAATTAAGGCACAGCAAGACAATATCAAAAGGTGCAATGCATCCAGACAAAACCGCGTTTTCGAGGTAGGAGAAAAGGTGTTCCAGAAGAACAACAAGAGGCTAGGGAACAAGTTAACTCCCTTATGCTCAGAACAAAAGGTCGAAGCAGACCTGGGAACGTCTGTCCTCATTAAGGGGAGGGTGGTCCATAAGGACAACCTGAAATAAGTTTTCCTCCACAATTAGCTAGTAAGCCAACTCAGAGTTTAAACACCGTCTTATATTGTTCGTCCATTTCAGGTTTGCACTCACTTTGCTTGTGGCACTAGCAGCGGTAAATGCTCGGATCACCGACTTCTCGCATGTCAACTACATTCCGGTCTTAGACGGGGAAGTACTGGTGTTCGATCAACGTAGCTACTTGAGGCACTCAAGTAACATTTCCGAATTTGTTAGTATGATAGACGAGACGGAAAGACTGTCCGATTCCTTTCCACAGTCGCATATGCGCAAACTACTAGACGTAGATACAGATCACCTTAGAACATTGTTGTCCGTTCTTCAAGTGCATCACAGATTTGCACGAAGCCTCGATTTCTTAGGCACTGCCTTGAAGGTTGTTGCTGGCACCCCTGATGCTTCAGATTTCTTAAGGATCCGCGTTACAGAGACGCAGTTGGTGGAGGCTAACTCCAAACAGATACTAATAAACTCCGAAACTCAAAAACAAATAAACAGACTAACGGACACTATCAATAAAATTATCAGTTCCCGCAAAGGCGATTTGGTTGACACTCCTCATTTATTCGAGACCCTGTTGGCAAGAAATAGAATACTGAACACAGAAATTCAAAATTTAGTACTCACCATAACGTTGGCAAAAGCAAGCATAGTAAATCCTACAATCCTTGATCATACCGATCTAAAATCACTTATCGAACAAGATACCCCAATAGTTAGCTTGATAGAAGCTTCTAAGATCAAGGTCCTTCAGTCCGAGAATATTATCCACATATTAATAGCCTACCCTAAAGTTGAGTTTAGGTGCCAAAAGGTCTCCGTCTACCCCGTTTCACACCAACAAACCATTCTGCGACTCGACGAAGACACGTTGGCGGAATGCGAAAAGGATACCTTTGCAGTTACTGGATGCACCGTAACTACGCATAACACCTTCTGCGAACGAGCACGGCGCGAAACCTGTGCTAGCTCCCTTCACGCGGGAAACATCGCCAACTGCCACACTCAACCTAGCCACCTGAAAGCGATAATGCCTGTAGATGACGGCGTCGTGGTTATCAACGAAGCGACAGCGCGCGTCCGAACAGATGATGACGCAGAGGTAACCGTCTCAGGAACCTTCCTGATAACTTTCGAACGGTCTGCAACTATCAATGGCACAGAATTTGTAAACCTGCGCAAATCACTAAGCAAGCAGCCTGGCATCGTGAGGTCACCGCTCCTAAACATCATCGGACATGACCCGGCACTAAGCATACCACTCCTGCATCGTATGAACATCAACAACTTGCTATCAATTCGAGATTTCAAGGAGGAGGTAGTTGCGGCTGGCTCGCCTAAATTCTGGTTCGCGATTGGCGCGGTCCTGAATGTCGGACTAATTGGCTCATTCTTCCTTTTTCTGGTGCTAAGGAAAAGACGAGCCTCCATGCAGATGCAGAAGGCGATTGACAAATACGACATGCCCGAGGACGGCCATCATCCTGAGGGGGGGGTAGTTAACAACTAAGCATAAATATATTGCCCTAGCAATTAAGTAGCTTCGTATTAACAATGCTGACGCGCCAGAACTGAGTTCAGCGCTCTGCGCTAAGAACGGCCAGCAGCGGTAAGCTGACACTGCATGGAATGCTGAGTCGGCTTGCCGACCATGCTTTGATGGCGTGATGCATTGAGGCTTAGGGTATTTGTATAATTTGCTTGTCCCCTAGTTTTTAGTTTTATATGAAGCGCGCAACACATAAGTCGCCGAAATAAATATACTGCTCCGGCATTGCCGATAAAACATATCTTTCGTAATATTACTGGATCAAGGAGAACATATTTTGATCAAGGGCAGCGCGGGATCAACGCAACTTACCCAAGATAACATTGTGTTACATCGCAGAACATACATTAATGAATAACTTATACATATGTGTGCATATACATACACATATTGATGCAACAGTTCGTGGGCTCCAATTAGAGATATTCATTTGATTTGAAGCAATTTGAAACAGTTGCAATGCGTGCGTCGACTCAGCACGCGCCCATCTCTAATGTCTATTCAGCTCGAGGAACAGCTGTTTCTACGCTTCTCGTCTACTTTCTGTTTTCATTTTGATTAAAGCATATTCCGATGATTAAACCAGTCGAGAGTCGCAGTCGCAGTCGCAGTCGTCGTGAGAAAATCGCTGCGGGAGTTGTGCGTTGAAAAAGTCAATTGAAACGCCATTTGAAAAAGAAAAGAAAAGGTGGCTCCTGGAAGTTAGAAGGCAAATAAACAAATAAAAAAATTAAATTACATTTGCAGTTGCCGTGCCTCAAATTTCCAATAGGGCTAACACACAAGCTGAAAACTTCCAACGCCAACGCAAAAAAGTGCAACTGCGACGACGACGTCAGCAGCGACGTCGGCGTCGACAAAATGTATACAACTGTGTTGCAACGGCAGCGCCTGTGAACCCGAACAATTGTTACCAGAGCGACAGGCTGTAAATGCATAAGACGAACAAGTGGGTAGAGGGGCAGTAGCTAAACGAGGTCCAGTCGAAAATTGAATAAAAAGCTCCAGTATGAGCTATGTGAGAGGCGGCCCGGCTGCTAGCCTGAATTTGGATCATGCGCTCAGCTGTCGGGAGTTTGAGCATTTGCGAAGCAACCTAGAGGCTGGCATCTTCAGGCAGCGCCTGCATGCCGCAGAGAATCTATACCAGCGCAATCTCGCGGGGCACTATGGTTGTGTCAATGCCCTGGAGTTTAACCATGGTGGAGAGTACCTGGCATCGGGTGAGTTGCTACCTGTTGCTCCTCTTACGGGCTGCTAATTTCGTTTGCCGGCTTCCAGGTGGAGACGACAAGCGGGTTCTGCTCTGGCATGTAGATCAGACGCTGGCAAACGTGGGCCAGGACAACCCAAGCGTTATGTATGGGGAGCATGCAAGCAACATTTTTTGCCTAGGCTTTGACACAGACAACAAGTATTTGTTCTCCGGCGGCAATGATGACCTGGTCATTCAGCACGACCTGGGCACGTAAGTGTCACCAAAGGCTTTCTTATCGCACATGTAAACTTTCTGCTCCCTGTCTACCCAGCGGCAAGAATCTTAATTACTTTTCACATGACGGACCCGTCTATGGCCTAAGTGTGGACCGCACCAGCACCAATATGTTTAGTGTGGCCACGGAGCATGGAGAAATCCTTGTCTATGATCTGCGCGTGGGCAAGAATGAACCATTGGCCATAGCCAAGTTTCGCACGCCATTTAATGCAGTCGAGTTTCATCCACTAAACGGCAACTTTTTGGCCACAGCCAATGCCAAACGTGGTGCACAGATGTGGGATCTGCGACATCATACACAGTGGGTTCTTCTGTTATGCCTTGCCTGAAATTTATTTGAATGCCCCTTCTTTACTCTCCTAGGGCACTTTGCCAGTATAACTACATAACTGAATCCCCCAGCTGCATGAGTGTGCGCTTTAACTGCAATGGTAGCCTTTTGCTCACCCTACACCGCCGCTTGCCGCCCATTCTGTACAATCCGAGCTCGTCCGACCCGTTGTGCTCGTTTTACCACGATGAATACTTCAATTCGTGCACCATGAAGAGCTGCACCTTTGCTGGCCCGCAGGACGAGTTGGTGGTTTCCGGCTCGGATAACTTTAATATGTTCATCTGGCGGCTGGACGGAATCGACCGTAAGTCTCTAAAAAATATCATGCAGCAGATAACTTAACTATTCTCGCTCTAGTGGAGGAAAAGAATCAATGGATTGATACGACACCTGTCATCCTGACCGGCCATCGATCTATTGTTAACCAGGTGCGCTACAATCGCCAGCGTTGCCTGCTGGCTTCGTCGGGTGTGGAAAAGATTATCAAGGTAGGAGAAGACTCTGTCAACCTATCGAACCTGAGTAAATAAAGGCTTTTCTTTATACAGTTCTGGAGCCCATTTGCACAGCATGGCTGGGAGGGTGCACTGATTGAACCATCCGATACGCCCTATTGCACACGGATGCTTCATCGCAACGCCACCGATCAAGTATCGCAAGACTTTAGCTCGCGCAATATGGACGAGGACCAGGTGATGCTGGCCTTTTTTGATACGCTGGTGCAACGTGAACTGGAGAACTGGAACAGCAACAGCAGCAGTGGCAACGGCAACGACAATGATCAAGAGACCACCAGCGGCAGCGACAGCAGCTCGGGCTCGTCCACGGAACGCAGCGAGAGCAGCACTCAGTCGGAGGAACAGAGCGAAGTGGACACACCCAATGTCAGCGAGCTCAGCTGGCAGACGCATCCAAATCGCATCTTCTATTTGGTGGCAAAAAAGCGGCGAGCACTGCTGCAGCTGGCGGTCAAGGGCACTGGGGGCCAGCACCGCAATGTGGAGCAGCTGCTGGCTCGGCTGCTGGGCGAGCAGCGGCAGGCAGCCACACAAGCGCGCATCAGTGAATGGCTGGAGGAAACGCACCGGCTGTTCGGTGATGACGAGCTACCCACCACATCGGCAGAGGCGGCTGCTCGGGAACGTAGTCGTCGGGATATCATTTCCCAGCCAGCCATCCGGAGTCCTCGCAAGCCGCCCGAGTTGCGCATGAGTAAGTAAATCAATAATACGTAAATCTTTATTTAATGAGGAACTCTAGTAGACAAACTAGTGCAGCCAGTACGCATCCAATTGCCAATGCGTAAAAAGCCAGTTGTATGTCTGTTAGAGTCAATACTTTCCATTGTCCCACGCCCAGTACTGCCAAATAATCGGGATAATGGTGTATATTCAACTTGGCGCGCTCCTTCATCTCGCTTATCCAATGGTCTAGGAGTCCGCCTGCCAAAATGTGCAGCAGTACAGTATTGATGGCATCCATATAGGGCGATGGCCTTGGCAGTACATAGCCAATGTGATAGGTTTTGGGGCACTCGGGTATCTTGTGCACCTTGTGGGTCATAATGTAGCGTCTGTCCCTAAGCTCAAGGCTGGCGGAGCGCGTCACACCGGCAAATCTGCCATTTCTGGCGACCATGCTGATCAAACGATCCTCACCCTCTCCCACCAGGACCATCTTGGCGTTCAGGCGTCGATAAACCGCCGAGTCGTGGCCATAAAATAGATCATCCTTAAATGCCGGATGTTTTATGTAAATGGGCATCTGGGAGTCGTCTAGTTCTGCCAAAGTTTTGGGATCACGATAGTACAGTGGTCGTATATATGCCGTGGCCAAGCTGGACTCCAATAGCGCTCCAAAAATGACGCTAACTAGACACAACGAGGCCAAGAAAATACGCTCTGAATTGTAAGGTGGAAATTTTCCAACATTTACCCGCACCCACACGATCCAGGTGTCGATAAAGATGCGCCAGGCAATAAACAAGAAGCGACCATCATCAATCTTTTGATCGGTCAGACACTCAATGCTCAGGCCCAGATTCAAGCCGCGCAGGCAGAGCCAGACGAAAGCGCATGCAAAGCCCACGAGTAGAAAGCACAGCCAGACATCCACGCGAACGGCAAAGAGAGGCACAATTGACTGTGGAATACGCTGAGCCTTCTGCACAATGAGGCACAGGTCATCCATGTAGACAGCGGCGCTGAATTGGATGCGCGACGTTAGATAATCCTTAATAAAAAAGCCGGCAAAGATCACGTCCAGCTCGTGACGATGTGCACGCCCCACGCCTCCAGTATAAGAGCCATTGGGCTGACGGCCACTGGAAATGAGCATGTGCCTTAAATGAATCTTCCAGATTAATATAACACTAAGCTACTTACCCAAAGAACTCGTCATCTGGCCAAACGTAGTTCAGCGTAAAGTTAAGGTGTTTGGCAACTATTTCTGCCACAGTGGCATCGGGCCCTGTGGCACGTAGAGGCCGTTCGGTGGAGCCATCTTCGTAAAGTGCGGAGTACACTGAATCAAAGATGTATGCGCGTAGTGGATAGCCATGCAGATTGGAGTAAATGCGCTCATAGCTGTGCTCATCCTCGGCAAGAACCACGCATTGCAGAAAGGGATTGTAGAGCAGCACTCGCTCGGCTGCCAACTGCACATAGTAGATGCGATTGTGACCAAGAGCCCGCCAGATTGTCTCCATAAACTGCTGCAACAGCTGTTGCTCATCCACTGCCAATCGCTCCAGTGCTATTAAATAAAAGCCGACCTGGCTGGTGAACTGCTTTAGGTGCTGCTGCATTTGGTGCACATGTTCATAGATATAGAAATGGTGGACCACAGCGTCGTAAACTAGAGCTGCGCCCGACTCTCCAACTGGCGTTTCCTGGGCAACATGTACTTTTACTGCATTACTCTGCTGTCTCAGTAGAAACTGGACAAATCTATTATCCGCATCCCGCATGCTACGCAAGTGCAGTTCCAGGGTGCTCTCCTGCTGACTCAGCATGGGTTCAAACATTTTTGCATAACTATCCACGCTACCCTCGTCCTGCCCAATCGTTAATTTCAATACTGTCACCAGGATTAACATAATTAGCTGTACGTTCAACGACATTGTGAGCGCAACTGAATACTATTTGACCCGCGCCAGCGATTGACCTGTCCTCCTGACCCTATCTTTGTGGACAAACAATGGCCCGTTGACACCTGGGCTGGTGCCGTTGTTTGCCTACTGTCAGTGACTCTTGACAGCTGACTATGCTCGTTGGTTAACAATAGACCGCTTACCTCCCAGTCAGTAGCCACGCCCACACGGCGAAACCCCCAATTATTGGCAAGTGTCAGGGCTTTGTTTGCCCAAGCAGAGTCAAGCTTCCGATTTGTGTACATTCCCTTTGCATGACTTGACCAAATAGTTGTACACAACATGGCTTAGCTGCACTAATAACCACTAAATAGATTTGAATTTCTCCGTAGTTGGCTCCCTGCAGGCCAGTTTCGAGCAGCTGGAGCGCAAGCGTAAGCTAATGCGGCTGCGTTTCGCAGCCATCAAGCGAAGACGCAATGTGAGACGTCCACGCCGAGGTCGGCAGGAGACTGACAGCGCCATGTCCTATGATACCGAATGGCTGGATGATGATGACGATAATGAGCCGGAAGTTAATCAAGAGAACACTGTCGAGGAGAACAACAGCAACAGCAACAGCACTCCCGATGATGATACATCCAACACATCAATGGAGGCACAACTGTCGCAGGCGCCGAGCACCTCAAACTCTGAGAATAACAACAAAAGGCGCAATGGTATCCATTCGGAGCCAACTACATCGACGGTCGCAACCCAAACAAATTTTTAAATACATTCAAGAAGAGGTTTCTATCCACTATTGTATACTGGCAAGCCAGAAATGAGTGTTATTCCTTTAAGTGTATGTATGATAAACAAAATATAGCAGAAAGCAAGAAACTTTTCAATTTCAATGGAAAAGATCCTAGGTTCTATAAATAGGATAGTTTACCTATATCTAGTTTCTCGCTAACTACATTATTGTCAGTTTGTCCGAATCCCATAGAATAACTACAATTGGCTTATTGAATATTAAAGGGTATAACGTGCTCGGCTTGCAAATAGCCTTGCACTGTATCCTTATACACCGAATTATTAAAAAGAAAAACATATACCAACATTTTTTTGATTCAGACTGGATCAAATTCTGGAAATTGTTTTATCGTTCTTTCAATGGCATCAAATATCCGGTATTTCGAAATAGCTTTGATTTAATACTTAAGAATCGCTTAGCCAAAATCCAAATGTAGTAGCTTAATTGAAGGAAACTCAGCTGCAACTCCTTTAAGAAGTTTATACAAACCTAAACATTGGGAAACTTTTATTATTTTACTTTTTTGATCTCTGAAAAAAATGCAGTAACGAAAACCATACAAAAAAAAAAAAAAAAAAAAAACATGACATTCTAAGTGTAATCTTTCATGTATTCATTAGAAGTAAGTGCAAACAGCATATGAAATAGTAAATAATTTTTTTTCTCACAAATTGCAAATGAAATTTGAATGTTAAATGTGATTAAAAATATATTATGAATGTCGTTAAAAGAAAAACCGAGTACAGAAAGCGAAAAAACAACGGAAATTTATTGATTGCCGCCAATCGATCTAAAAAGTAATGAAGCTGACATGCAATTTGTAAATGTATAAATGCTTCATCATATTATATAATATATAGTAATTGTAATTCAAACGTACTTTCAGATATAAGACACGCACTAAACGTACATATATATATCCATATATATATGAATGTATATTAGAGGATCTGATTCATTCATGACATCATATACATATACAATAATTAGCCAACTGCGAATGAAAACAGCTTTGATAAGTTGCAAGTATTCGGTTTTCATTTTATTGAATGCTAAATTCTGTGAACTGTGTGTATGTCTACAATAATTTATGCGTACAATTAATAATAAATTCTAAAATGTAACTAATAACTATTTAGTTCGCAGTTCGAACGATTATGCTAAATGCAAACAAAAGCGAGAAACGTAAGTAGAAACATTAATTACACTTACAGACTGTAAAAAAAAGAGTGCGTTCTTTAGAATGCGGCTGATAATCCTTTAACTCTTAATTAATCTGATTACTGGTAACGAAACAATACTGTCTAATTATGTACGCTGGCTTGTTCTTTGTCTATGGCCTAAAGCTAATTAATTTAATTTACACGAAAGACCTAAAAAGAGTCCATACACGGCTTAGCAAATGAAGTCGGCGTTCATGTCACTGGGCCTAAACGGTAGCATTAATTCCTTGCAGCGTGACATAACGAATCGCTCCAATTCGCAGCCAGCACTAAAGATCAGAGGAAAAATTATTAGAAATTTCTTATTTCTTATGAATTGAGACGTGCAGCTACTCACTCGTAAATCTCATTGCCCTCGATATTATATAGATCGCAGTTTTTGAACACTAACTGGATATCGTTGAGCAGCTCCTCATTCAAATGATATTCGCCCATGTTTAGCTTGGACTTAATTTTGGCTAGATCCATGGGCGTCTTAATTATCTTATGATAATCAGGAACCTCGGAGGTCAAAACTGGTCGCAGGAAAGGCCACGCAGCCTGATGCTTCATCGTCTGCTCCAGCAGATCGTATAGGGCGGCGCTATTTAGTGGCAGGTTGTCATTGGTGCGGCGACCTGAACGACGATTGTTGTTATTACTGGTATTGTTATTATTATTATTATTATTGTTGGCAGCAGACTTGTCCAGGGAAATGCGCAACGAGTTGCGTGAGGACCGCGCACGCTTTGCCTGCGGCTCCTCGTGATCCTCATCATCGTCGGCATCGCCATCGGCTGTAAACATAAAATGTATTTATAATTTGGATCGAGCTGACATTTACAAAACAAAATATAGCATTACCATGACTGGGGCGACGGCGGGTACGTTGTGTTTCATTTGTTTTGCACTTTTTGCATACAAAATCCGTACGAGGCTGTCGCTTTAATTTGACGCACTCCAGATGATACCACTCGGAGCAGCGGGAACAGCAAACTTCGCAGCCGTCATAGAAACATGTCTGGCATACCTTTTCCTCCTCGCTAAGCATAAATAACTTGAATATTACATTTTGCTCACAATAGTCTTACTAATTCAGAACTTACGTTCCTTCCTCTTCGTTGTCCTCGTCTGATTCAGCTTCATCAGCTGCCACTGATTCATCATCAGCGGCTTCATCATCATCTTCCTGCATGGCATCTTCAATTTCTTTGGATTTCAATCGCCTGCTACTGCGGCGTCCACTTGAGCCTTTCACTGCCGCCTTACCATTGGCCTTAACGGATATAGAAGATGCTTCGCTTTTATCGTCTTGTGCATCACTGAGCTCAGTTTCCTCATTATCACTGCCCTCATCGTCTTCGTCTTCATCGTTTCCGTCACTGTCTGCAACACCCTCATCGACATCCTCATCTACCTCGTCCACAATGAACTTGCGTTTCTTCTGGGCAGCGCGTTTCTTTTGCTCCTGCTGCTTGTCGTCGGTGGCATTAATCAAGCCGAGATTCTTTACACAGGTGTGACAGTACCAGTTGCCCTCCGGCACTGTGCGCATCTTTGGCTTCATGCAGAACATGTGAGTGCCGCCGTTGCACTGGTCGCAGAGCAGCATTTTTTCCGGATCGGTGCCGCGTCGGCACACCTTACACAGTGACTTGTTTGTGGAATGCTTCCACAGTATGGAGTCGTGCAGAATGTTAAGATGAAGAAAGATCTGGGCATAGCTAGTGCTCTCCATGAGCGACACCTCCCACTGCTGCAGCCTGGACTCGCAGATGAGCTTCTGCTGATCCTGCTTGGTGTCTTGGCGTTTCTTGGTGAAGCCGAATGGCTCCTTTAGAAAACGACGACCAATCGCTTGCTCCACCTGCAGCAGCGCACTGGCCAAGTTGCGAACTTGAGTCCGATGTGTCTGGGATTCGGTTGAGGACGTGTCTTGGCCTTGACTAATGTATTGACCTGGATCCCGATACTTTCCATACTTCTTTCGCGCATACTGGTTCAAAAAAATAGCATCCTCATCTTTATCGTCATCTTGGTCGTCGTAATCCTCGTGCGACTCATTGTCCGAATCGGCGGGCACCTCATCGCTGTACATCAGACCAGGTCCCCACTGCAACTTGCACTGAGCATCAAAGTCATCCTGCAGCAGCTGCTGACGCCACTTTTCCATGTCCTTGATCTTCAGCCGGCCCAAGTCGCCGGTGTAAATGTCTGTCTCGAACTGCAGAATACAATCCACGAGATGCAATCGCAAAACCTCGTTAAGTTCCGTGCCCTCAGGCAGGCCGAAATTAGCCTGACCATATTTACGCTGCGTCTCCGAGTGCATGGTGCTTATGAACTTGTTGCGCTTCTTTTCGCTGTCCAGGCTGAGCAGCTCGTGCGGGCAGCTCTTCACATGTTGCTCGATTAGAGCGCGCAGCTGAGTGAGTTCGTCCAGCAGTTCCGATTCCCGCCAGCCGAGCGGATTCAGGGATCTTATCAATGCATCAATCTCTTCAGCCTGGTAGATGTACGACCAGACCTTTCGCTGTGGATGGTGCTCATCATGGACAATACAGTTGGCGCTATCGCCACTGCACATTAGCAGCTCGAACTGTGTAGGTGGAGTCTGCTCCTCATCGTCCCCGGCCGCCACATCCATCTGCTCCCCCGATTGTCCTTGTCCGTGGCCATTTAGCCGATTCTCTTGGTTCTCTTTATTCTCGAGCGATTGTTTGTTGTTTGGTTTGCGCCTCTTTTTATCTTCCTCGCTATATAGCTTTACCAAATAGATACGCAAATCCTTGCGCACCTTTGGCAACTGTGCCTGCTTGTGCAGCTCGGCGGGCGACTTGTTTACCGGCGGTTGGGCTAGGCACGTGTCCATCATACTATCCGGCGAGTGTTCTATAAAAATGCCCGGCATGGACTCCAGCACATAGTACTTGCGATAGCATCGATCCATGCCCAAGTAGACCAAAAAGTTAAACAGCTCCGAGTGCAGCTTGAGCACCTGCTGCTCGTGCTTGCGCTGCTCCCGATCCGACTGTGCCAGCAAATCGGCAATGCGGCGATTAAGCTGTTCACCCAGCGCCTTCTTCTTATCCGCATCCTGTTTCACCTCATCTGTCAGGCACTGCTGATGGTGCTCGTTGGTTAGCCTACGTTTGGTCAGCTCGAGTGCAGCCAGGCGCCTATTCTCGGCAATGATCAGGGCGCGCAGTTCGGTTTTCGCCTTGGCCGTCCGTTCCATGCGTTCCTCAACGACGTTTATAGTACCGGAGTAGGTTAAGATCTGCGCCATCAGGCAGTTTATTATACGCATAATGTCCTCAAATTCCAGCTGAGCAATGCAATTGGTTTTGAGGGCACGCAAAATGTGAGCGTACTGTAGGCGCAGCTGCAGACCGGGATCCTCACGCGATGAGTAGCCATTACGGTACATAATGCGCCACTTTTCTGCCTTTTCTAGTACAGCCGCACCTGAGGCCAACAAGTGTAGCCGTAGAACCTCGCTCAGGGTGAGCGCGTCCAGCGGCAGTTCGTTCAGATTAAAGGAGAAATGCCGCTTGGCGTATCGATGGGAGTTCGAGGCATTATACATGCTGATGTAGGGCTCCCGTGTTGCCGGTGTGCGCCCAAGTGCGTATGCCACCGGGCACTCCTCCTCTTCCTCCTTTTGCAGATCAAAGATTGTGCCCAGAAGCACAAGCAGTATGTCGGAAAGTGGACCGGCCACCTCGCGTGCGCTAAAGGCGCGCGACATTTCGTAGAAACTAAGATTTTGGCGAAACACCTCTACGCCGGAAAGCAGTCCGCGGTATGTGTGCATAAATTCGCGCAGCATGAAGGCATCGCCCAAAAGCTGATCCGGCAGAAATGTTACAATTGGATGATACGTGGGCAACACGGACTGATCGCTGCGCTCCAGATCATCCGTTTTGGTGGTCAGATCGTAGCATTCTTGCTCCACACGCGACATTAATTCGGCCTTTTTCTGTGCCTTTTCTCGCTCCATTGCCGCACATTTGGCTAGCTTTTCCAGACGAATGCGCTCCATTTCTTCGGCCAGTAATTTCGCTTTGGCTTCGGTATCGGCCTTGCTCTTAACAGTCGATTCCTCTCCCTTGACAATGTACTTGTTTAGAGTTGATTGCTTTTTGGTATCCTTAGCCTCAGGTCGCTTTATTTTCGCCGGCGAGTAGCGCGGCATTTTGCCAATAAAGATGCTGGAAAAGTTAATGTTCGGCTCGGTCACATATTGTTTGTAGATCTCAGGCTTAGGCCGCAAAATTCCATCCACACGAATCACGCTATTTTTGATGAACATGGCCAAATTCTCTTGGTTAAATTCGGCGCGCTGGCGACGTAACTGCTCGAAGGGCGCATTAATTTCATTACCGTTGGGCGCACGTAAACGATACTCCAGTTGCTCGGTTTCCTCGTAAATGCCGTTACCTGGCTCCGGCATGTTTCCGCCCGGCTTAATGCCCACCACTTTGAAAACTGTGTTCTTCTTGTTTGTAACGGTCACCTCCTCATTGAGAAAGAAGCGTTTACGCAGAAACTTGGACACAATCAAATTAAGCGTTTTGACAGCCGACTGGCGTGCATGTTCGATTACTAGCAGGACGGGCGCACGTAAGCTCTGTTTAAACTGTTCCATCTTTTTGCGGGCAACGCGTTCGCTTTTGACAGCCTCCTCGTAGGTGAGGCCATCCTTGCCAGTGGCCTCACACTGCCAAACCGTTGAGTTTATGGCCATAACATGTCGAAAATAGTTTCTGAAAATGTGCAACAATTGGATTAAAGCTTTAGGATAATTGTTTCAATTGAGAAGCTAGAACTACTTTGTATTTTATAAAGTTTAATTTAAAAAAATAATGGTATCTTTAGTGTGTCGAGGATTAATTACCCTCACAGACATAAATAACAAATGTACAATATATTTATTTTTAAGATCTCACAACGGAGTTTTCTCTACATTTTCAGCGGATCGTTTCATTAATTGATATGAAAGTATACCGATTTTAATGATATTTACTCCAAATCTTCAACACAAGCATTTTTTTATACAAAAACATAACTTGTATTTGATATTGTTGTTGATATGACATAGTTGGTATATAAAAACTACAATTTCAACGTATGTCTTCACAAAATCTAATTGAAAGAGTACTCCGATGTTATTTACATGCTCGAATCAATAGTACAAATGGATATTATTTATGAATATACATAAATAATATTTGTTTGTATATTTAAATTCAAATGCACCCAGGGTGGCAACGCTGCCAATAGCAGCTGTGAATTATATTCGCGCGCTTTCCACTGCTGCCGCTACCGACACTTTCCAAGCTGACAAAATGTTTTTGCTTTTGCATGTATCGCTTGGCCGAAGCATGCGTTCATCAGATTCGCTTTGTTGTATACTTTAGCGCAATGTTTGCTTTGCCATTGTTATACTGCTGCAGCAAGCAGCATTTGATAAAGGGCAAAACAAATTAAGGCTAACGCATTCGACTTACTCGTAATCGCGGAATATGCGCTTGGTAATATAACAGCAGAAGACCAAGTCGTTGTCGTGGAATGTTTCATTTTTGCCCTCTGTTTGATTTAGATCAAAACCGTCGCGTTTGCAAATCGGCATTTTTGCCTATTTGTTCCTGAACTCGTTTTTAATTTTATTATAACAGTGTGTAAAGGTGTATGTGTGTGTGCGTGCGCGCGCGAAGGAGCAGCACAGGGCACGCGACGGACTGAGTGGTAACAGACAGTGACCAATAAAAGGCGCCCAATTTTTTTGCAAGCAGGCAAATGAAATCGTCGTCAAACTACGCACTATAATATGCCCTCAATTAAAAAATGCAGTTGGCCACTTTATTAACGTTTGCACTAGCTTTAATTAGCCTTTTACACTAAAATTTCACTTAATTGCCTTAAAAATATAATTTTCACGCGCGCCTTGCGAATTTCGCTTGGCGTTTGAGATGCTAATGGTACATGGGCCTGTTAATATCGATGAATAGTATGTAAACAAGCTCGAGCGTCGCTAACATTGTCTACCGATAGTTTACGCGCCATTCAGGCTAGTGCTGGAAAACGGTTACTTAATATTAAATTAAATTTCTTCCATTTTGAAAGTTTATTGAATCTTATTACACATTGGTAAAAAAAAAACGCAAATTTAAAGAAAATTTATTCAAATTCAGCTTTTATATTCAGAACAATTTTCAAAATGACCATTGCAATAAACAGTGCTCGCATGATCTACACAGATATCGATTTAAAATGTATCGATAAGACATCAACAACTCTACTGCAAAACGGAATAAAAGAACCACACACAAAAAAAGTTTGCGGAAAAGGAAAAGTGCATATGAATGTCTAAAAAAATACAACGCAGCGGCATTATTAATAGCAATGTGCAAAAAACAGTGTAAAACGAAAAACATGCGCTGCCGCGTATGACGAAAAAATTTGTTTTCAACTAATTAAATAGGTAGGCCTCTGGCTCAGCCTCACTGGCGCAACGAGCAGGCTGCTTCATATCATTCTTTCGCTGTTGTCTTCCTCTTTGCTTCGTGCGACACAAGCAACAGCAGTAACACACAGCAGAACGATATTTTTGTCGAGGGGCAAAAACTGTACGCGCTCTGTTGTGTTGTGTTGTGCGTTTGTGTGTGTTGGAGCGGGAGGGCGCAACGCGGGGCCCAAATATTGTACAAAAGTTTAATGCCTCGTTTTGTTTCTACTTATGCAAATTGCAGTCTGTGTTCCGTTTCTGTATCTTGGTGTGCGTGTGCTATAAACTTGCTGCCTTAGTGTAATTTATTAACTCGACGGATTCCCACCCCCTATTTTTGTGAGGCACCCCAAAAGTGAACCTAAACCTTAAATGATAATGGTTCGCAGACGTGCACGGCCCGCCAAAGAGCCCGCCCTAATGGTGGTTACCTCTAACGGGGTTGACGCAAACAGCGACGCGACGTTGGCCCTGCCGTTTAATGGCGAACCAATCAGCGCCGTGGCTGCGACGGCCACCAATAATCTGCTGGATGATCAATACTTTGCCAGCCCCAAGCGAAAAGACTGCCGTCTTATGAAAACGCATGAAAATCTCAATGCGGCGGAAGATTCACAATGTCACAGCAAAGACAACAACAACAAAGCTAATGGCAACTCAACCAAGTCTGAAACTGGCCGCACAATTGGTAAGCTTTTTTTGAGTGCATTTTGAGGTTAACTTTAGCACACTCACAGCCTCCCCTCCCTTCCGCATAGGTGTTCAATTGGCAACGCGTTCTCAAACACGCACCATTGAGAACTTCTTTAAAGCGAATGCGGCTGCAAAAAGCCAAAAAATATCTACTATTCTATCAGATACAGTTATAGCTACAACTACAACAGCAGAGCAAAAGACAATAACAATAAGTGGCGCCTTAGATGACGAATTGGAGGAAGAGGAATCTCTCCTATATGACGCACACTCCATAGCGTCGCCTTCCACCAGTACCAGCTCTCCATCTTATCCGAACGATGATCTGGAAACCGACAATAGCTCCGAGCTGGGCAGTAACTACACACCTATAGACACAACCACACACATACAAGTAGACATTCACACACAAACCGACCCACACATAGACACATCTACAAACACGGCTGCCTTTCAGACGCATCGCTCAACGCTGCGCGACAGTCACAGCTCGTCGCATAGCAGCAGCAGCAGCAGCGCTGCGACTTCCGATAATATATTTCTGCAGGAGCCAGTGCTGACGTTGGACATCGATCGCACGCCCACAAAGGCCTCTAGCATTCGCATTAACAAAAGCTTCGAGCTGGCAAGTGCCGTATTCTCATCACCGCCTTCTGTGCTAAGTGCTTGCGTGCTAAACGGTCGCTTCAATCAGATTGTTACGCTCAATGGCCACGGGCACGGGGAAGAGCAAGAGCATGAACAAGAACAGCATCAGCTGCAGCAACCGCTGAGCGGTTTTGAGTTGGACCAAAATGACAGCAGTTCCTGCGACAGTGGCGTCGCCTGTTGCTTGACGGCTGGCACATCTCCTGCGGTGGCGGGCAACCGACGACGTAAGCCCGCGACTCCACACCGCATACTATGCCCCTCGCCTATCAAGACGATGCCGCGCGACACAGTGCTGCTGAAGGGCGATGCGTTGTCGCCTCGCAAGTCGCCGCGTAAACTGCAAATGCAGCTGGCCGCAAGCAACGCGTGCAAGTCGCGACGAAGACTGAATCAGCCAAAGCCACAAGCGCCTTACCAGCAGCCCAGCCCAGCGCCAAGTGAAGATGTTATATTGGTGGACGACGGTGAAGACGATGACGATGATGTGCATGCGTTACTCAAGGCTGCAGAGGAGCGCGAAAATATGAACAAAGCCAAGGCAATGCCCAAACCGGCTGCAGTAGCAGCAGCAGCGGTCAAGCCAAAGGCACCTACCAAACCGGCCAAGGCCAGGACAATGGCGGCCAAGTCCCAACCGCTGGCTGCAACAAATGGCAATCGTGAGCTGACCGAATTCTTTCCGGTGCGGCGCAGCGTTCGCAAAACTAAAACTGCCGTCAAAGAGGAAATGATGCGTAATCTGGAGCAGGCCGTGCTCGAGGAGCGCTGCGAGGGTCTGCAGGTACGCCACTTTATGGGAAAGGGGCGGGGCGTTGTCGCAGTACGTCGGTTCAAGCGTAACGAGTTTGTCGTCGAATATGTGGGTGATCTCATTGCGATCAGCGAGGCCACTGAACGCGAGCGTCGTTATGCGCTGGACGAGAATGCCGGCTGCTATATGTACTACTTTAAGCATAAGAACCAACAGTACTGCATCGATGCCACCATTGACACCGGCAAGTTTGGTCGCCTTATCAATCACTCGCGCAACGGCAATTTGATGACCAAAGTGGTTGTCATCAAGCAGCGACCACATTTGGTGCTGCTAGCCAAGGATGACATTGAGCCCGGCGAGGAGTTAACATATGACTATGGCGATCGTTCCAAGGAGTCGCTGCTTCATCATCCATGGCTGGCATTCTGAGCCATTGGCTCATGGCAACTGTCATTATCTAAATAAATAATAGTAGCCTAGATATTCTTTAATGAAAATTTGAAAGAAAAAAAAAACTGTTAGTGCAAAATATCGTAAAGGATAGAGAGCATCATCATCATATTTTTGGATCTGTTAGCGTTTTTCCTTTGTTGTAAGGCATCGATTATGAAACTGTTGAACATTTAGACGGAGTTGAAGCGATTGAAGCTGATAATTATGACATAAACATTGCATTCACATTTATATTGAAATCGTACACTATTTATATAGGACTAGGTATATATATGTAATATTGCTAATAATTATGTACTATTTACTGCCATAGTGCTATCTATATACACCCCGTGCACCTCGCCAATCCCAATCCAAAAAAAAAAAAAAACAAAAACCCCTGACTAGATATTTATATATAATTATTGCATCAACATCTCTTAACACACGCGTTTGACGAGGCTTCCTGTAGCGTCCACTGGCAGAGTCCTACTTACTGAGAGAGTGCCTGAGAAATAGATATCATCCGGTGTTTCTCTGTGCGCATCACCCAATGAGCTTCCTATAAGCAGGTTTCAAGTACTCCAACACGCCTTACAGCGAGTCTCCTAGTAGAATCATGAATCTAATTATATATGCCGTCGCCGCCCCCCGTCCCCACAGACTTAAATGATAAGTAACGCAAGATTGTATTGCAACAAAAATTTGGTTCAAATAAACGTAAATTGTTTTTTTTTCCAATTACTATATATATTTTTATTATTATTATACTCTGCGCATATATATTTATACAGTACATTATCTATTAATTGTATAATATAATTTTGTAGCACATAATACATTGATTTTAATTCAAGGCGCAAAACCATTTTATATATCATTAATATTTGTTTAAAATTTGATTAGCAAAATAAAAACAAAGCACACACGAATGCATAATTTACAGTTAAGTCTACGTCTAAAGCATCGATTGGAATTTAGTTTGTAATTTATAATTGTTTTACTTTCACGCACACACACACCCTCACACATGCACACTCACAACACAAACAAACATGAAGCGAAAATAAATAAAAACATTAACACAAAAAATCTGAAGCCAATTGCTTATCTTGTTTTCACTTTGGAGATCATGGCAAACTATGACAACACATGGAATGCACGCGCTTTTTTTAATTTTATCTTTTTTTGATCAAACGTAACAAATTTTATAAGTTATAATAATACATTACAAACACTCATAAGTATATAGGTGTATATAGAAAATATATGCTTAGGCGGGTTACGTTTTTGTTGTTCAATTTTTTAAATATATAACACACTATGGAATGGCTGGGGCGATTTGTGATAATTGATATTAACAAAACTCTTGCAAGCATTGACTTAAGCCAAATCGTAAGGGATCAAAACTGGGCTATACAAAAAAAAAAATAACTAAGCTCGGCTTGCGTAAAGTGATATTAAAAGGACAAACATATATTAATTATGCTTTGGGAAACTCGTTAAACAGGAAAGCAAATAAAAGGCGTTTGGGTTCACTGACCTAATTAAAGTCGCCATAGCTAAATGTGGAGATAATATCGCTAACAACGTTCTATGAAACATGCTATACAGTCTAAACACATCCACTTATCATATAATAAAGAGGCTATAACTAAAGGCTAGTACTAATTGTTGAGTTTTTAAGTTTTCGGCCAAATAATCAAATAATTCTTAAATTTTACATATATATAATCAATTTAAGTTTTATACACAATATTGCACTAGAGTTCATTTTCGACGCGAGTAGGTTTTCATTGCTTTGACTACAGTTATCTTCTACGACTAACAACAACAATGACAATGACAACAACAACAGCAACACGCACATTAACAATAACAAGAGCCAAATTGCACGCAATTGCTCTCACAATATATGTTAAACTTATATAGCAAATATCTAGACGGATTCATAATACTGACTGACGCGTTGCCTACGTCAAGATGCTCGCCTCAGCTACGAGTGGGCGTGCCCGCGGCACCAACAACATTGTAGACTGCTGCTGCTGTTGCGGCCGCAACTTTTTCGCGTCGCGCAGCTTTTGTCATTTCTTGGCACTAAAACTGGGCTTGGGCAGCGAACTCATGAAGGCACCCGCATTGGTGGGCAACGCTGGGGCCACAAAGCTCAGATCCGGTATTAGGGATATGCGTGGTGCCACCTTTGCATTGCTCAGATGAAATTGCTGGCGATGCTGCTGATGTTGTTGTTGCTGCTGCAGCTGCTGCTGGTGGTGTTGATGATGCTGGTGCTGATAAGTTGCGGGCACTCCGTTGGCTGTGGTTGTCGGTGCTGTGGAAAAGTCGTGCATCATGTGAACCTGCTGGGGTACATTATTATTGTTGTTGTTGTTGCTGCTGCTTTGATATTTGGGCACTATATTGCTATGTGCATGCGGCTGTTGTTGCTGTTGATAGAGACTCAGCGGATTATTGTAAAAGTTGGCGCTCTGCCAGGCGCCCGAATTAAACTGCGGCGCAGCGCGCACAGGCAACGCAGTGCTGCTCACAAAGTCCGACCAGTCATCCTCTTTTTGGGACGCAGCTGTGATTGGTGGGGCCTTTCGTGCTCTCTGCACATTTAAAACATTGTTGTTGTGGTTGTTTTGTTGCTGCTGTTGCACGGGCACGGAAACAAAATCGGACCACTCATCATCCTCGTGATGTTGCTTTTGTTGCTGCTGTTGCTGCTTGGGTGACTGTTGTGCCACGCTGGCACTTATCGTTGGGGGCTTGAACTGATGCGAGAACAGTTCCTCGATGCGCGCCAGTTCCTCGGCATTGATGCTGGCCAGCGCATTGTCGCCCCACTCAATGCTGGGCTTGGCCAATGGAATTGTCTGAGGCAACAATATGGCCGGACTGAGTATCATTTGCTCCCCAAATGTGGGCGTGCCATTGCGTGGGGGCTGCAAATGGGTGGCGTTTTTGACGGCGGGTACAGACTGAAAATCACTGAAATCATCATCCTCCGTTGTTGGCTTGCCCGAGGCGCTCAGTTTGCTGGGCGAGTCGAGACCGTAAGGCGGTGGCTTGTACTCCACATCGCGATATTCCTTCTTGACAACCGTCTCATCTATAATAATACCAGCGGAGGCAATCTCGTAGTCGAAATCAATGGGCGCAAGGGTTGTGGTTTTGGCCACCGCTGTGTCTGATTTGGAGGGTGTATAAATATGCGTCTCCTTGAGCGGCAACGTAAAGCTATTGCTGCTGCTGCAGCTGCTGGTGGTAACCTCATGCAACTGCTGGCTGCTGACTGTGGGTGGAGGCGGCGGTGTTGGTGATGGCGACGGAGACTCTCTCAGATCAAGCTGCTGCTGCTGAGGGAGTTGCTCAGCGTCGTCGAAGCCGTGGCCATTCCCGTCTGTTGATAGAGTAGGCGATAGCGGCGCTGTTGCTGCTGCAGCAGCAAATGCTGATGATGCTGCTGGGGTGTCATCAAGGCAGGCGGCGGCGGGCAAGGCGTCATTTGCTTCATCGGAGCTGCAGTTGGCGTCGTTGGTCGCGCCTTGCCCATAAGCAGAGCTAGGCTGCGCTTGAGCTTGGCCCGTCTCTGTTCCTGCGGCGGCTGCTTCAAGTCCTGTGAACCACACAAAAGATCAGCATTAATATGGGGAAATCAGCAATAGTTTTTGGCATATACAAATGCACAACATTAGTACTAAAATGCTGGGTTGACGAGTGCAGTAGTTGGATGTGGGGGGTGGTAGTGTTTGGCAGCGAGAGGTAACAAGAATTAAGGAGAAATAGTTGGAGTTGCAAAGACTTTAAAAAAAAAAAAAAACATTATAAAAAACAGTTCACACAACTACAACACGGAGCACGGAGCCAACGAAACTTACTAAGATCCAGCAAGGCGCAGTGGGCAGTAAAATAAGTGTTTGTTGTTGTGGTTGTTGTTGTTATTGCATGATTGTTATTGTTGCGGATGGTGGCAAAATGTGTAACAAAATTGTGCATATCATTGTCATTGGCATTGGCATTGGCATTGTCGTTGTTGTGGTTGATTGTCATATTGTCATTATCATTATCATTAAGTAGTTCCATCAGTGGCAGTTGCGCATCCAAGGCATCGTGAAAATTGTTGTTGTTATTGTTGACGTTGTGGGAGTAGTTAGAGGTAACAAGATTTATTTTATCAGCATTAGCCACCATCGTTTCTTGGTCTATTTGTTGTTGTTCCAATTGTAAAGTCTGTACATGTGATTCTAAATACAATTTATCATAAGGATAAATTTGAGTACAAAAATGTTGGGCACAAGAAACAAGTGAAAATAACGGTATTTTGCTCTTTAATACCCTTGCAGAAGATAAATTCCGAATCAAGTCTCAAGTCAAGCTGCAAGGCACCGTGTTTTTGTATTCTTTTCGATAGATTAGGGTAAAATAATCTATTCCTGCAAGTGAACTAGCTTTTGGACGATAGCAGAAATGTTGTTAGTTTTGAAATAAATACAGGTAGTATTTTTCTAGAACACATCTGCGCCCGATCCGGTTCATAAGTGAACAGTTTAATGCTTTATGTAAAACATTTGTAAAATTATGGTATGCTGGTCTAATCTCAACCTTGTGTTAACAGAAATATTATAAAAGTTTAATGCATTTAGTTAATTAAAAGTGTTTCGCAACAATCTTTTGAATTATATCTGCAAGGGCATGGCAACTTCGGTCTACCGAAGAGTTAACAATTTGCAAAAACGTTTTATTAAAGGAAAATAAAGAAAACGCATGTAAAACAAAACTAAAGAGAGAAAGAGCAGCCAATGAACGGCAGGCCAATTGTTTATTCAGTTGGAAAGCGAAAGCAAGTGGATCAACAAAACTGTCTCAGGAAAGAGCGAACGAGAGGCGGTGGCAATTTTGGTTACGAGAATCGTGTGTAGCGGTTAATTTGCGGCAACTAAGTAGTGTTAGGTGTACAATGCGTCTAGAAACTTACCCGGGAGTGGCTGCTGATTGGAGCTGCTGGTCGTGGGCCGCCAGCTGGTCATGTGCGCCTGTTGGGAGTCCAGCAAGGAAGGATTCGGTCCAGGCGCTGCAGACAACGGTTTGAGTGGTTTTAAAGGATCGAAGCTCAAATTGGCCGCGAATCGGGGCATAGATGAGTTCCACTTGTCGCCAAAGAGCTGCGTATAAAAGAGGGATTAGCTTAACAAAGCAAAAGTTACATATATTTGAACTTACAATATTACGCGAATCGATGGCCAGTGAACGCACCAAGGAATGTCGCATCTCTGAGTTGGCCCACTGATAGTCCAGAGCGTGCGCCTGCTCAATAGCACCGAAATGCAATGATTGCGTCTCAGCTAGCGGTGCGTGCTTGGTTGCAGATAGCTCACAACTCGACTCAAGGTTGGGAAACATCATCTCCAGCACTGGTTTCACACGCTCGGTAATGCTTAGATGTGCAACAGCTGGCGGTGGTGGTTGTGGTAACGTGGGCGCCGCTGCAGCAGGAGCGGACTCAAATGTTGGCTCCGCAAAGTCGCCGAAATCATCTTCATCGTCTTCGGCGGCTGCCTGCGTTGGTGCAGCTGGCGTTGCGGGCGTGACAAAATCCTGAAAATCATCAAAGCCATCATCCTGACTGGTGGCCGCCACTGGCTCCTCTGGCTCAACCACCATTGGAGCTGCAGCAAAGTCCGCAAAGTCGCCAAAGTCATCATCTTCTGCCTGAGCCTCAGCCTCAGCCTCGTCTATATTTTCAATTGTTGCATTATGCGGCGTTTCTGTGAAAGCTTCTTCGCGGAACGCAGCAAAGTCAGACTCAGGCCTCGCGATAGGCATTTGGTTATGCAACGTAGGCGCATGCTGCGTGGGTGTTTGCACAATCTCTATGGCAAAAAAGTCAGCGGCACCCTCGGGTATGAATAGTTCTTTGGGTTTCTTTGGCGAACACTCCTCGTCGCTGTCATCGGACACATCCTCCAGCGTCACCTGGTGACACACAGAGGGCGCTTTGGTTGCCTGCTCATCAGCTACTGGCGATAAGGTGCTGAGAGGCGTAACACTTTCACTGGAATATAGACTTAGGCTGTCCAGTTTAAGCGAGGGCACATTATCATTGGTATTGGCTTCCTCCTCCTCCTCCTCCTCAGCTTCCACCTCCAGCTGCTGCTCTGCCACGTTTGCAATTTCATCATGCCCCACAGTGGCAGCTACCACATCATCGCCTTGTGGGGCTGATATTTGCTGCTCCTTTGCCATATCAATGTCGGGAGCTTTCACCTGGTAATTAAAAGCCTCCGCTGTAGCTGCCAATGTTTTAACAGTGCCATTGCTTAGATCGGGCGGCAGCGAGTGTGCGTTGTACTCTGCTGATGATATGGGCAATTCTAGCAGCGGCGGCTCTGCAAGGGAGAGGTGTTGTTCGTTAATAAACTTAAAGTAGAGTAGCTATAAAGAGCAATTACCTTTCGAATTAAGCGCAGCTTCGTTCGTGTGGGTGACTAATCCATACTCAGAGTATTCGTCAGCGTCGTCTTCCAAGTGGAGTGTCGATTGCAGCCCCGAATCGTCATCGTCCTCACCAAAGTCAATCGGGGGTGGGGTGCTGCACAAGAGTGGCGGCGGTACATTTACCATTTTTTTGTGTGTCCTTTGTTCCAATTTCTGGCAATAGTTTTTGTTGTTGTTGTCGTGGTAATTTGGCTAACAGCAGCTGCAAACACTTCAGGAACTGTCGCGCTGGTCGCTGTGACGTTTTCAACCCGTTTACCTACGTATGTGTTAAGTTCTTGTGTGCGTGTGTGTGTATTTGTGAGCCCACTCAAGGTCTGTGCTGGAATTTTCTTGCTTGACTTTATGTTACACACACGCGTCGACTTGGGGCTTTAAGTGTATTACTTATGTGTCACTTGCGTAATGATTTTGGAATTAAAAATATAAATCAAACGTTTTTATGTGTATAATTCGCCATGTTTTTAACAAAACATACTTTTTCCAGGCTTAGTTCTGACATTCATACCTAGAGATGTGTGACATGTCACGAGCCACGAGTCACTGTTGCAGACGAGTACCAAAAGTTACGGACTCATAAGCTAAATGTTTGTGAAGCAAAATTTCACGAATACATGGATATAATTCCCATATATTCTTTAATATGTATTTAGTTCCTTCCTTAAGCCAATCATAGTAATATACATGTATTGACCTGGTCATAGCAAATTTAAAACTCAATACAACGGTTTTCAATCAAAATTATTTGAAATAAAATAACTGAAATAACTTTTATTCCAAAAACAAACTTAACTGTGAATCGAATGTTTTCAAATATATAAATTTGTGTACATTGTATTCAAATTAAAGTAAAATACATTGTGCAAAAAGAGAAAACAGTATTTTACAACACTGGAACTTTCGATATTTAGTATATCGATTGCGTTCTTGTCAGTCTGACAGCTGCTTTAAGGTTATACTACTATTGTAGTGGACTTGAATTCGTAAAATTTATTGGTAAATATGCGAAATAAAACAATATATTGGCTTATTTACTTCGCGCAAACGAAATAAGTTGCCAGTATGCATTTGTAATTAATTCAGCCAACTGACACATTCCTTTCCTGGCAGATATTAGTCTGCTCATTACATAACTAACCAGCTATGTCTCAGGCTCCAGTTCGTGTCTCGCCGCTCATCAAGCTCGGAAGATGGTCCCTGCTGATTGTAGGCATTGCCTATGGTGCTGCCCATCAACGCCGGCTGTCAAAGAAGGAGGAGAAGGTGCGCGAAATTGAAGCCCAACAGAAGGCCGTTCGCGATGCCAAATTGGCCGAGGAGAAGAAGCGTAGCGCTGAGGCCGAGGCTAGGGCTCTGGCTGAGCTGTCGAAGCCCAGCTCCCGTTAGAACGCATCTTTCGTTTTTTTAAGTTAATTGCTACCACAACTGTTCGCAACATAATCAGGCAACCAGGCAACAACAACAACAACAACATCAACAACAAAATTCCATGGGGGCGCAAGCGATCGGACAGTGTTGCTCTTAGACTATCGAATTATCGATCGAGTTTGTGTGTTTATCTGAGGTTTGTCTAAAATTGAGCAAATTAAAAAAAGTAATTATGTAAAACATATAAAAGTGGATGGTTTATTGTGTATTTCAGCTGGCATTTATGCAATGAGAACCTCTCTTGAAAGACATCGCATCGTCTTTATTTAGCTATCTTCTTTTATGGCATAGAAACCATTAGCTATTACCCGTTTCTCTTTCGCACTGCACTGCTGCACTTTGTGAAATTTGTTCTGATAAGTTTTGTTGAATCAATAATTATTCGCTGCCAAGGCGATAATTTATAGGTGTTGAGACGTCTTACGTGTTGGGGTCACACGCAAGTCATATAATTCAAATGCCAACACTCGGTTTGAAGCGCCTTCAACGATGTCGAGCTTTTTGGAGCAGTTGCCCAAGCATCTGCAGGAGATTGCCGAGCGGGGTAAGAACTCGTATTGCTAGGTTTTCAATTGATCGAACCTAATGATCTCACTTAGTCAATGTGCTCACACCCGAGGCAATATTAACCACGCCTAGGATTAAGTTCATGGACACCCGGTCCTGTGACCTGGATACTTGTGTGCATAGCTGCAGTCCGGAGGATGTGCGCATTTTGAAGGACGCAGCTGCCAAGTGGCTGGCAGAAACGCCCGTATCAGGTAACGCAAGGACATAGGCTTGACTGTTTATACATGTATCAAGTACTTAAATTATGCGCATTAAAACGCAGCGGATTCTTTATTCAAAATACCCGCTCGCTTGAAGTGGTCGCGTGTGACCTTTGGCTGTGCCGCGCTAGATCAGTGCACTGGCGGAGGTGTTTCGATACGTGGCATAACAGAAATCTGTGGAGCCTCAGGCGTGGGCAAATCTCAGGTGCTCCTGCAGCTGTCGCTTAGTGTGCAGCTGCCACCGAGACTAGGCGGCTTGGGCAAAGGCGTGGCCTTCATCTGCACTGAAGATGCTTTTCCATCCCGGCGTTTGCTGCAGATAAGCAAAGCATTTGAGGCACGCTATCCGGAGGAGCAACTTAACTTTTTGGGTAACATCTTTATTGAGCATCAATATGAAAGCGTGAGCTATGCAGTGTATATTCAAGTGATCCTCACATAGCTCATCCTGTGCATTGCAGCAACCACTGCTTGACTGCATCAGCAATCGCCTGCCGCAACTGCTGCAGGAGCACAGCATTGGCTTGATCATCATTGATTCGGTGGCAGCCATCTTTCGCCTGTACACCGACTTCGAGGAGCGTGCGCGTGATATGCGCCGCATGGTGCATGCGCTGCTCAGCTATGCGGATAAGTACGACTGTGCAGTGGTGTGTTCCAATCAAATGACTGCTACTGAGAAGGCGGATCAGAAGACTTTGGAGGATGTGCCTTGCTTGGGCTTGCAGTGGGCAAATCTAGGTCGAACACGCATGCGCATATCCAAGGTGCCCAAACAGTTTAAGCAGGGAGATCAGCTGCTTACAGTGCGCAAGCTAGAAGTTATGTACTCTCCCGAGACTCCAAATGCATTTACCGAGTTTTTGATTACCGCAGACGGTGTGGTAAATGTGCCAAAACCACGCCGACCACACGGCCATATTAAAAGAAAACATGATTTAATTTGCTGAATTGTTTATTATAATTTTTGAATTGCAAATATTTAACGGCTACTGATCCGCGCGTTATAGTTTTCTTTTTTTGTTTTTCTGTACACTCACATTAAATATGTATTTGTTTTTTTTTTTTTTTTTTTTTTTTAATTTCCATATATATTAGCAATTTACACTTAGGACTGTTTCTGCTTAAACACTTGTAGTTAATAGTTAGTGTAGTTAAATTAAATTTGTAATTAACATGAATTCACCAATTGTTGTTGTTGTCGTTTTTGCTGTTATTGACGCGCTTCCTTTCACTCTACCCTTTCGTATACTTTATCACATGAAATTTTCGAAAGTTAAAATTACAATTACAATATTGTTTTGTTTTTTTTTTTTTTTTTTTTTTTTTGATTTATTTTTAAAACAGCACATTAAACATTTAAATGCGTTTCTAATGGCAACATATACAAAGCCTATACTTAAGATTAGTGCTTAAGCATACAAGTACATACATACATTCAATAAATTACATAAATATGCGTAAATGCCTTAAACTAACAAGCACACACATCATTTATCATTGCAAAATATAAACAAATCTTGAATGAAAGCTGGCCGTGTGCTTGAGCAATATTCGACTTTTTTGGCACAAGTTAATTTGACTGGCTAGGTGTAGGTTGTGGGTTTAGGGCCTGGCTGTGCGCGCATTGAAGTCTAACCCATTTGCATATCGTTATCCTGCGAATCTTGTGCCTCTGTGGAGGTGCCCGGCTCGCTGGCTGACTCCTCATCCTCCGATTCACTTTCGATTTTGGCCGATTCACTCGGCTGCTGCTTCGTGTTGGCCATGGCCACTGCAATGGATATCTTTGAGGCAGATAGCTTGCTCTCAAAGTCCATTTCAGCCAGTAACGTTTTTGACGGTGAGCTGCGTCCGTTTTCCTGCGCAACTGCAGCTGCAACAGCTGCGCGTTGCAGACTCAGCGCTGGCGACTCCTCCAGTTTTATGTCCAGCTTTTCAGTCTGCTCTAAAGGTGCCGCAGGCTCCACCGTTAGCGGTATGGCATGCTGGTGCAGCCGATGGTGATGAAATGTCTCACCAATGTTGTTATTGTTGTTGTTGGCATGGCGCTTTTCAGCTGCTTTGTTGTTGTTGCTATTGTTGCCAGCAATCGCAGCCGAATCGCTGGCATTAGCGCTAACTCCATTTGGTGCTGGGCTGCTTGCGGGTTTCGCGGTCTTCTCCAGCAACGCATTCAATTGCTTTTTAATTTTGGAGTTCGTGGTCTTTGACTGCAATTTGCTGTCACCATTATTTCCGTTGCCGCCTTTGGCTGGTGTTGATGCGTTGTTGTTGCTGCTGCTGCCGTTGTTGTTGTTGCCGCGTAACTTGTCCCCTTGGCCGTTGGACGTCTTTTTTGGTGTAGCATCCACATTGCTGGCCGTAATGGACGTTGGCTGGACGCCATCCTCAGCAGCGCCACTGTTATTGTTGTTGCTGCTGCTGCTATTGTTTTTGGATTGTTGTTCCGCGGTTGTGGGCTTGGACGATTTGTGCTCGGCAGCTTCGTTATTTGTGACATTATCCTGCTTCTTCCACTTTGTGCGTCGGTTTTGAAACCATATTTTTACCTGCAAAAAAAAGTAACGTATTAAGTACAAATTTAAGGAAAAGTCACATTGATTTGTTCATTTTAATTCTAATTAAAAGCTGTGGCTTTATATATTAACAAGATATATCCGAAAGGGTTTGATAAGACGAAACTAAACGAACTCGGACCGTTTCGATTTTACAGCCAAATGTTTTTCTGTCCATGGCTCTATATAGGGTATAAAGGATATTGTAGATGCGACCCCCACCCTTAATATAAAGCGACATCGGAAGGATCAATGTTATTGAATTTTTGTTTATTATTTGTTAAATGCGAAACCCTTTTCCAACGAGGAACTGTTGGCAATTTGTGATGAAAATCAAGACGCATTAGTCGAGGAAATAGTCAGAAATGAAATGAAGATTGCCAACAATTATTGAGATGAATTTTTGTTTGCTAGGATTTTGTTTTTATTTTTTTTTTTGGTGTTGAAGTGAAATCTTCTTATTCAAATATTTATATGTTCTATTATGCGGTTCGCCTCAAGAACTTATGTACTACATATGAGTCAGTTGTTGTACGAGTCAGTTCGCTATAATTAGGCAATGTTTATGCCTCATTTGCCCTTATTAGTGTGCGTAAAACAAATAATTAAAAATTATGTATCGCATATTCCACTCGCTGTACGCAAACACTTCCGCTACGTCAGCTACAGTTCAAAACAAGCTAAGTTGAAATGATGTGGGCCTGTCAAAATGCAGAAACCGCCTATCATCCACTTCCATTCGTATGCCCATTCAGTGCTCACCCACCCAACATTCAATGTGTCTGTATGTGTGTGTGTAGTGTGTGTGTGTAGTGTGGTGCTTTATGTTGCACAGGGCAACGGGGACGCTTCGGCAGCGTCAATGGCGCAACATAAAACATTTGCCTCTTATTTCCATTTCATCCAAAGTGATGGCCTAGCTAAATAAATGAAAAATCTATTTAAATCGCGCACATAATTAGTATTTCAGCGGCATGTCTTCAAGCGCGCACACACACGCACACACACACACAGGCATACACTTTCACGATCGGAATATGAAGCAAAAATAAGCGCCAAAGATAGATGCCGTCATATGACATGCTCATTTTGCCGGCGTACCGTAAAAATGATGAAATTAACATGAAAAACAAAAAAAAAAAACAACAACAAAATTTTCCTTCGCTTAGCGTCCTCCACGAGTAGAGGAAACACGCTCAAGTATACAAATAAAAAATTCGTTAATTTTCATATTGAAAATCAATTAATTGATTGCCAAATATTTCGAATTTCGAATATATGCGCTGAAAATAGACGCACATCATTGAAATGTACTTGTCGATGGATTGATGTGTGCGCAAATTGTTTGTTTTATCGATGAAGATGGATTATGAGGGGCTGCCAATGTATCTACATGTATGGCTGGCAGTACGTTTGCCCGTTTCGCTCGTTTTTGGCCGTAATTACACTCGGCTATATACAATTGACCAATTACTCATCCGTTTGCCCGCGCCTGTACGCTAATTCCTTAATAAACAATAAAATCGGCGGCGTGTTTACCTTATGAGCAATTTTAATGGCTATTCAAAGCATCATTTTTGTACTTAAAATGGACTATTTTAATGGGGCTTACGCGTACTTATATGCGGGCATCTCGGCCATTTTTTTCCTCCATTATTTTGGGCAACATGCCGCGCACAGCTTACATTTAATTATTTGATTATTTTTAAATGTGTGTCTGGCCTAATTTAACCATTGCGTTTCTTTTAATTGCGTGTGGCATTTTTTATTGCATACATTTTGCTGATTAATTTGTTTGGCATAGAAATTATTCTTAAAAATTCTTAAGAGACTGGTATAGAAGTTTTCACTCATATTTTACTCGTACCTATCATAAATAAACATTTTGTTTTTCTGTTGTGATCCACTTTAAGACCTCTGAGCTTACCAATAACAGCTACACACATATACAACATTCATACAGAAATTTCTAAAAATACAAACGAAAACTTTGTCGTCTAAAGTGAAAAGTTGTGGCTCAACCTGTGGCAAGACAAGGCTGGGGGTCGGTTCCATGCTTGTCGTTTATGATTTATTGACATTTAAATGTGTGCGGTGATTCCCTTTTCAAATGTTCGAGCAAACGACACCTGGGAGGGGAGGGCTTAATAAATGCCAGTCAGCAAGAACTGCCTCATTTATTTTTCTTCTTATATACCATACATATGTGTACTAAGCATTCATACTAATATTCTTATATATATATATATATGTATATATATAAATATTAATGTGCACTAACAATTAACACAAATTCCAAAAACTTCATGTACGCTCGCTGATACTTAAATAGTCTCAAAATGGCTGCTGAACTGCGTTTTTATTGGCACGCAATGCTGTCAAGCTATGTATGTGTGCGAGTGTGTGTTAGGTTATTTAGTATAATTAATTTTCATTTCGCATTTTCTGCGCACTTTTCAAAAATAAACGCAAAGCAGTTTGCCGTAAGGAGTACGCATCCGAGTTCTAGACAGTTAACGACTAAATGATACCCTTTCCTTGCTGCCTCAAGTGAGCATAACAGTATCTTTTATACAGGGATCACGAAAGGACTTGTTCTGGGTATGAGGCATGACATAAGCTCTCGCGAAATACACTCTCAATATTGTGTCTTAATATACCCGCTGTGCCCCTTTTAGTAACGGTATAATTATGATCCAACACTGAGAAGCTAAATTGCACAGGGGCTGAATTTGGCGCTCTCGTCCCTCACGTAAATGGTAACGACTTCTTTCTACCACATTTTTGTTTTGCTTTTGCGTGCCAAGAAATATTCATCGTTTTCTTTTGCTACTCTGATCAAATTATGTTTTAATGTGTAATTTAGCATATCTCATTAGTTAGTTTTATTTTTTTTGTCTGATAAGCTCATTTTTTATTTTATTTATTTATTTATTTATTAATGGTCGACAAAACGAGTGTCTTCCTCATTATTCAATAGATTATACAATAGAATTTTATGCTAAAAGCCTAGTTAAAGGATACAATTTTCTAAATAGCATCACCGACCGATGGAGGTGTTTTATTTGCCAGTCCGGCCAGCTGTGCCCCTTTTCACAGCTAATTTTGTCAGTGACGCTATTAGAGCCTACATCTAAGCAGAAGGTTGTAAGTAGGAAAAAAGTGTTCACAAGTAACATTAAAATAATCTTAATTTGCTATATTAATAAAGAAAATACAATAAATAGGAAAAATGAAAGTAAGAAGATTTCGCTTGGTGAGAAAGGTAGTTAAGAGTTAAGAGTAAATGAATGAGGCAATATTATAGAATACCTAGCTGGTATTTCCCGGCATCGCCCGAACTTTACGTTATATAATTAAAAATGGATTTCAAGTTCATCGAATTAAGAAAATGTTTTAATCAACGTTCGAATACTAGAGAATATTTTGTGTTCGACTTGGTCTGTCAATCTCAGCTTAATCGTGCCAATCTTAACCTAAGAGCAACTTTGTGCCCAATGGCAATTATGTAACTGGAAACCAAATCAAATATGTAGCTGGAGCAAACAGACAAATGAAGCCAAACAGCCTTAATGCAGCCCTCACCTCGACTCCCATAACCCCATCTGTGCACTCGGATATTGCTGTGCAGTAAATCACTTTGTTCCATGCAAATATGCGCACTGCAATGACATTATTAATTAATACATAATCACTGGGTTGGTTGTCAGTATACCCTGTATACGGGTAAAGCGGGTATGCGTGTTTAAGGATACAATTTTTATGTATTTTTTTTAGCTTAGTATATATCAGAGCATATTTAAAATCAACTAATCACGCCTTGAACAATATTTTTTAAGTCAATAATAATATATAATATATATTAATTATCATCGCATAGGAAAAGGCAGGTCCCTTGAACCGTCGGCATTTATATGAACTCTTTTACCTAAATACTTTGCTTTACTGAGGATTAGATTATTAAACGCATTTTGCGGAATGCTATATATATCGTATATCATTTCAGTTTGCATCCCATTAATAGAAGTGGAAATCAATACGAGTATCAATCGACATATTTGTACAGGACATCTGTAAATCGGTTACCCAAGCGATACTTAGCTATTTAGGATTATGCTCACCGTATATGCACACCTAAGCAATGTGATGTGTGCGTGTGTGTGTGTGTACGTGAATGAGAATATTTGGTTCAATTTGTTTTGCGATTATTAATTAAATAGACTTAAATGCAACTGCTGCCAAAATGCGTAGTGGTAATAACAATCGAATGACCAGTAGGCAGGGCCGGATGCCCAAGCATGACTCCCCTCTGCTGCCGGCTGCGCCCCTCGGCGCACAGCTAAATTATCGCTCTGTGTATTTTGGGCGGCGGCTGTTGCTAATGAACGAAAATGCTGACCAAATTGCAGTTAATACCATTTTATGCAACATATTTTATGTGTAATGTGAAATAATTATGCATAGCTCCGTTGTTGTTGCTTCTGTTGTAGTTGTTTGTTTTGGCATTATTATCTATAGTACTCGTACCATAAATTTGGCTGCGTGAACAATTTCAAAGCCACACTGCAGCAGTCAAAAGCAAAGCAATTGGATAAATATTTACTTTAGCAACAACAAACATTTTTTATTACCATTAGTTTGCATTAGTGTGCGTATTGCGGACTGCTGCTAAATGAATTTCAATTGCAGCCGGTCGCAAAAAGCGGAAACTGTTTCAGATTTGAAGTCATGTGTGAAATTAAAAAGCAAGCGCAATGCAAATAAGAAAGAATGCTACAAGCTGGCAAGATATCCATTAAAAATGAAAAAAATCAAGTACGTGGCTATAAGAACATTTCGTTGCTTCAAACTTTTTATATAGTTGTATATGGTTAAAGCTCCATACACACTGCTTACCACAATTTATCTTTAAGCTGAGGCATTCCTCTAAAATTCCTTAAAAATGGGTATTCAAATAAGAATACTTGAAGTTTCACTCCAGACTAATATTAATT